TTTAAAAAATTATATTACATGGTTACTTAACCTGTGTACACCCCTTACGGCTCACTCAATTTGTAACCTAATTAACAAAAGGTTATCTATTTTCGGTTCTCGACCATCGCAAATCTCATTTCCCGTTAAGACCTGGTAACAATTCCTTCGTAAAATAATCTGATACGAGGAAGGAGTGACCCCTCACTATTGAATTACGGAACGCATGCCTGTGTATTGGCACTATACAAGCGTTAAATTTCGTAATTCAATTGGAGGCGTCCTAAGAAACGAAATATATGAAACACTGTGGATGTAATATTCTCTAGAGTAAGCTTCATGGTTCCATAAACCTTAGTCAAAGCAGAAAAGCCACTAGGAATAATGCAATTGTTCCTACTACCAAATTGCCAAGCGATTAAACTCGCGCTTTCAGAAATGACCAATTTAAAGCTAATAGATATTGATGTGTTCCCTCCCCGCGGTGAGGTAATTCCCATAAGAAAATGAGTCCCGGAAAATGTGTTCCGTACCGTATATGTTGGAATTTGTATTCCGAAAAGTGTGTCCTGAGACTGTGGACTCCCCTGGATTGCCGAACGTCAATTGATGTCAATGTGTAGGGCGAAGGATATCCGAGGATTTCAATTCGCCTGAGGTGTCTGTAAGTACAAAGCTACTTTCTTGGGACACCATGAATGGCAGGAAGTCAATCATGAGGTAATGTTGTCCCAGGAAATGTGACGCCGATGCACCACTCGTCTTCTGCATGTTTTAACGAAAGCCCCTTTAAAAATGTATGGAGGTTAAGGAGGAAAAAGGCTATTAGACTCATTAATTAGACTAGACTAATTAGACTCATTCTCTTCACTCCGATTTTAAAAGAGTTGGAATGATCAGAAGGATAAACAGTGCGTATGAAACAGCATGTGATGAAGACACGACCGAAGATTCCGTGCCATGTCGAGGAGCGAGTCGCTCATGTCCTTGAGGGACACGAGAAAGACAGAAGAGACAGGGGAATGCCACAGCTGGAGAGGCTGCAGAGTATATGTCCTCCCTCTGGGAAATCAGTTTTATTGAAAGGAGCCTTTCGAAGGAGGAAGTACAGGAGGCCTTTTCGTGGCCCTTAAACCTACCTCAACAAGAAAAATCTGTGTGTTCGTCATCATATTAATCGACCTATAGGTAGGATTTTTAGTATTATCACGAAAGACGATGTACTTTTGTCTCATATGTCGAAGCAATGTATTTTTGCAGTTTTTCATTGCTTTCCTCGTTGTCTTGATTTCCACTCTGAAATATTGTATGAATGGGCGGGTTAGTACCCATTACCTTTCTTCAACCCCTTCCGGCGACAAAATTCCAAGATCTCGTATTCCTCTCTGAAAGCATCAACAGGAACGAAATTTGCCATACTTCTTCCTCTCTCAACACAAAATCGCTCCAGCAAATTTTAAGCTCCATCTCCCCGGTATTGCGGAGATCACTAAGTCTCACTTTTGGGAGATGTGAAAGTCGTTCTCATATTTTTTATTCCCACCCACCTGGGTGGTTTTCGGAGAAAGTGAACAACCAAATGAAAGATATTGACCTGGAGGTGACAAAAATCCCTTTTTTTGCTTTCAGTCTACCATTTCCCCATAAAAATGAAATTAGATGCCGTTAATTTAGGCTTAGCGTATGGCTCCGGTCCCTTCCTCAAGTGTTGCCGGATATCATGTTGGAGTTATGTCAGATTCAAAACTTCCTCGGCCTTAATATCGTTGTCTGGATCTTCTCTTTTTAATGTAATGCACATTACTGTGCTGAGTTCATGGGATGAGCTGAGATTGAAGCTGTGGTTTGCAGTGGCCGATGGATTTGGTGGAATACGGAGATATCTGTAAATTAACATTATGGCGGCCAGCTCGTACGTCATGCTTTCTAAAGGCAATTTCTTCTCAGAACGAGTCGAGACGATTCGAGGAGCTCAGGATAGGCCTATTGTTCCTCGACCGCACTGAAATGGCTCATGAAACTCAAAAAAAAAACCTGCATTCGGTCTAACGTTACACATTTTCTATTAAATGGGTCATGAGAGACTGAAAAGGCCTGCTTGACCTAACGTTACGTCCTCAACGAGGTGTCTCGAAGACAAGGGATTAATCCTAATAGGCCTTATTGTTCCGCAGGCCGAGGATTGCGTTTCTTTTGAACGAAAAAAGCTAGACCTGACCCGAAGACAATCCGTCGGTTAGGCCTAGGCCTAACGTTTCTGAGTTCCTTAGAGAAAGGGGGTTAGGTTGATGTTGTAGAAAGGTAAAACCTTTGACATAGGTTTTCACAATTCTACTTAGATATATTTTTTCAGCATAGTTAGAGCATATATAGGGGGGAGGTTGCTGGTCCCCGCGGTGTTACCAGAGGAGTCTGACGTGGTCCTGTATGTTCAGACCAAGTATATCACAAATTCCAGCTCTGAATGTCGTCATTGCCAAAGGTGAGAAAGTGTTAACGTCGCTCAGGAGAGGAGTAGGCGATACGACCACGCAGGTCCATCTTTTTCGGAGGTTAGTAGTCGCAATGGGAGCCTTTAAGCGCGTGATGAGGCTAAGGATTGTGTTCATTTCTCCGAGCTCAAACATATTGGGTTGCAATACCAAAAGATATGCTGTCCAATAGGACTTTAGATTCATTACTTCTCGATTCCGAAAATTCAAACTTAATTGACAGCAGCTCCAGCAGCATACCCAGAGCACCTTCCCTGTTCTTCATCCTGGATAACAGACTCAAACTCAGCAAGGGGAATACAGTTTCACGTCGAGAGCTTCTCGATGCATTGCATTCTCGCATGCAGTTCGTCCGCCTTGCACAAGTCCTACAGACTAGCAACATTCAGGTCACTTTTGGTTGCGTGAATCTTCCCTTACATCTTCTGTGAGCATGCGAGAGAGGCGTCCGATCTAATGGGATTCACACCTTGCGATCCTGCGAAGCAGCTGCTCCACCTGGCTATTCTCGGGGAGGTCCCATGAACATTAATGCTGACCGGTACTTCTACTAATGCTGCCAGTCGTAACCCTTAGCCGTACACATGCCCCATCATCAGCTCTGATTTAATCGATGTTCTGGTGGAGATGGACACCGTTCCAGCAATATCACCATTCCCGATTTATGCATCAAGTCGCGATTTTAAGAATTGGATCCCGTTGAATTATAATTTTCTAGTTGTCTGTTGAAGTTACTGTGGAAACAGGAAGCATGTAATAGTACTTGGTGGCCTAAAATACTAAGGGCCTCCATGGCTCAGTGGTATAGAGCACAGGTCTTGTAAACCAGCGGTCGTGAGTTCGAGTCTCACTGGAGGCATAAATATTTTTCCTATTTCTATATTTGAGTCCTTATCGAGCGTTCATAGTATGAAGACGCGTTGTTCTCTAGGTCTGGCATGGTAGTTATACTGTAGGACATTAGGTTTGGTTGCTCATCCCAAGAACAAAAAAGGCAATTCAAGGGGAGAATTACTCTGACTAAGATGGGACATGAAACCACATTCCAACAGGAAAGGGAAAGAAGTGATGGAATACCCTCATCGTTGGTCGGATTAAAAAACGGATGCCGGCAGCAGCATGCATGCGATCAGGAACGGGCGTGATCAATCTCCACATATCTGAATGCAGATAATGCACAAACGACAACCGACCTAAGGGTATCCCAGCGCAGTCATGCACAGCTATGGTTCAATCTAATAAACTCTCATATCTATAGATATCCAACGTTTTTACATTTTCACCAGATGTTAGGTATTACAAATAAATTTCAGGACTTCAAATGAACTTCAGCTACAGACGAGGAGACACTCCATCGTTTGTCTTATCCATGGAGAGATACTGAAGACGCGCCATCAAACACAGGCAATTATGGGTTGTCTAGAAGTTCACTACCTAGTCCATTTCCTGGCAAAAGGTTGCTTTGAACTAGAAATCATCGTCTCACGTTGCTCCCTGTACTTGATTCACTGTTCTAATAAAATATTATTCCCTCAAAAACGGGAAGGGAGATGAGGGAAGAGCAGTTGGTGGAAAGACTCTGCTTGACTAAACACTGGAGGGGTACGTGCAAGGCTCTACTTGAACAATGATTTAAAGCAAACAAACATCGTCGATGTAACAATTGGAGGGATGACAACTGACAATGTGGGACCCTGCTATTAAAAGTATTCGTTGGGTCCGGTTAGAAATATTAAGACATCGGAGATTCATCCATTTCGTTTTATATGAGACATTTTCAAGGGCAGCATATTGATTCCCATGCAAGCGTCGGTATCAAGTTATTTGTTGATTCACTGTATATCGATAATATGAGTTACCAAATATATGCATTAGTTCAGAAACATAATGTTGGGAGGATATCATTTTATAATTTTCTCATTCTCACATGAAATAGAGATTAGATTTCCTCAAAATGAGATTTTTACTGCTTGACAAAGGATTGGATGTAGGTGATATTCGAAAATTAATAACTGATGGGGCGAATAAATTTTCTCATTGGGTAAGTTTTCGTTATGAAGGATTTATTTCATACTTATTCAATAGTATGCTATTTAATTCTGCAGCTGTGATATTGGACAGTGGCAAAGCGAGTTAGCATGCATTCAAGAATAAGAGACAGATACGATGTACACATAATGAGCAAACATGTCATACTTCAGCATGTTCTGGATCTTCCCCACTTCCAAATAGCTATGATCCCGACAATAAGCAATTGAAAGAAAATCCTAATGGAATGCCCTGCAGAACATTCCAGGACAAGAATCTTTCTGTGCACGTGTTTCCGAAATCTTGAATTGAACCAAATTTTGTTGCTTCATGAATATATTGAACATAACTCCATGTTAATTGCTATATTGCTTAGAAACCTAATGCAATAATAAAGTCTTACATGAGGGATGTAAACAAAGAAACATTGAACTTTTTTCGAAACTAACATTGCCGTGTCAATCAAGTATAGACTACCTCTATAGAATGGAAAATGTGAACATCATATTTATAAATTACTTACTGAACTCTCTTTGGTAGGGCTTTTTCGCTATGGTGTTCCAAAACTTGGAGGCTTATATAGTGATTTTATTAGGACTGGGTGGCCATCTATGATTTACGAATTTCTTACACATTATTCACCAGTTAGAAATTAAAATGATGAAATATGAATTATGATCATCAGCACACGTGGAAATGAGGCACGTCCTGTTATTTAGAAAGCAAGTTTCTTTTGAGAGTATTCTTGAAACTCATGATTTTACTTATTTCACTTCGAAGATTGAAAGAAACGATCGTTCCTTTAAAATGATAAGATCCAATAGTATGGGAAGGACTAATAGGGAATCGAACTTGATTTTAATAATCATCACCTCCTGTCCTGATTGGATATGTTCATTTTCACTTTTTTCCTAGCTCATCCGGACACGGCTCAGATGTCCTCATCGCGACGTTGGTTACCGCGAGCACTACGCACTTTGAAGGTTTAGCTACTACTTGCCACCAATGCCAAGGGTATTCTTTATTCCTTTGGCAAGGGTGGTGAGGAAGCCTTGACCCTGGCTCGAGGATTGAGTTCCAACGTTTGGAGGATCAAAGCAAGATATATCTATACCCTCCTGTTCGAATTCCTTCATGTACGTTTCAAAGGGATCAAATTTATCCTTGAGCTTCTCGGCCAAATCCGCTTTGCGACGTGCGTCTTCGAGGTAAGTGATCCGCTGGAGGTAGCCGGGTGCAGCATCCCGTTTTTCCGCCTCGATCATGAGATCGATGTATTCCGTCACCCCCAGTGGATCGGGCTTCAAAGCTATTTTCTGGAGTTTCTGAAGGCATTCGTGCGCTTTTGTCGTGAGGTCTAGAACGTGAACCCTCTCTTCGTTGAAGTCCTTGATGAGTTCCTTCACGATCTCTTGGGCAGTCATCTTCTTCCCAGAAGCCTGCTCATAGTTGGCCTTCAAATTAGCGTACGTTCTGCATTCCTCTTCCTGGTACCATTCTAAGCGATGATCGGCATTCACGTGCTCCGCCGGTGGACAGCCTTTAGGACAGACTGTACAGTACGAGCCCGTGTCATCCATCGCATTGCATTGATCCTTTTCTTCGTCCTTGGGTATGAAGCAGGGAAAATGGCAAGTGTAGTGGCATACCAGACAGTTGGTCACGTACTCATTTGGTACTAGTGGTATTTTTTTCTGCTTCGAAACTTCCACCTTGTACTCGAAATTCTTGTTGGCGAGTATTTCTGCTTCGTGCTGCTTCAATGCTGCATATTCTTGCCGCAGCTGCTCAAGCCTTCCCAATGCTGACAAAATAAAAGGAAACATTACATATTTTCGAACTGATTCCATTCGGAATTGAGGAGACTGGACTTCGAATTACCTGCGGTGATTTGCGGTTGGATGCCTTGGATGGCAGCCTCCAAACGTTGCCGTTCTTTCAGAACTTCCTTCGTCAGGGTGAGGCTCACGGGTTTGGTGCTTTGGAAGGTCTGAAAGAAATTTTTGAAGCTATTGAAACCCATATTCCAGAAGAATCTGTCGAATCCCTCGTTCTCGGGTTCGATCCGTCGGTTCACAAAGAGAGCGGAATTGTTGAACTTGAACGATTTCGTATACGGAACACCCGCATCCTTGATTGCGCAAAGGACAGGCGGGGCCTGACTGTCTGCAAAAGTGATGAGGACGAATATATTTTCCACGACATCTTTCCCGAACACCGCCAATATGGAGTCGAAGATGTACTTCTGCGTGGGTGTGAGCCTGGCCAGGGAAGCCTGAACGACGAAGCAGATCCCGTCGAGTTGATCCACACCGATATTCCCACCGTGGGAGAAAAATTCCCGAATCTGATTCTTCAACGCTTCGTCCGCTTTGATTCCTTCAGTGTCCCCAAACCCAGGAGTATCGATGACCGTCAAGGTATAGGGCAGATTGAATCCCTGTTGTTTGTTAAGGACGTATGCCGTGATCCACTTTGTTTGACTCTGGGATTGAGACTTGGGTTGATCATGTCCTTCGTCGACGATCAGCTTAAAACGGAATTCGTCTTCCCACGCCACGTCGAATGCATAATTCACGATTCCATTGATGAGTGTACTTTTTCCTGAAATAATGTGTCATATGTTATTTCAGGCATTTATGTATATAGTGCAAAATGAAGTGGAAATGAGGTGCTCCTAACCTGCTCCTGTTGCTCCGACGACCATGAGTACTTTTCCTACTCCGCCGCCTGCGCCGTCGCCGATTTCGTATTTGGCCAGTCGATTATTGGCATTTTCCATCACTTTCTTCTTTGGCAATTCGTGAATGAATTCATCAATGTCCTTGCATGTGTTCTTCATTTTGTGAGCCAGGGAAATCGGCTTTGTTTCTGGCTCTTCGTGGGTCTGAAAAGTTATGGTACAATGAAACTAAGACGATACATATGCAAAGTATCACTAAATCAAATGACCGAAGAATTTCTGCTTTTTTTTAATTCTGAATTTAATACTTTCACCTCCCCTGGGTCCTAAAAAAAATTCTGTCATCGCCAGGAATCCGCCTCATTGGACCCATTGAAATTTAAAGTGATCCATTTTAATATAATATTTCTTCGGAAACCTTTGAGCTAAATTTTCAAGTTCCTGGCTGTATGGAGTCAATGGCTAAACCTTTTGAGCCTCTGCAGCTCAAGTTCAATTTTACTATGTAATGTAGCAATCGAAAACTATAATTTGTGCATTATATGAAGACAAACATGTAAGATCGACAGAACCTCATCCTGCTCATCTCTCATGATTCATTCTGTATCATTACTTTGAATAACTGGAAAGGTTCATGGTTTGATACGTTTCAATTTGCATCAAAGTACCGAAAGGCTTACCATATGATATAAGGGAGCAGAATGAGACTCACGAAAGTTTCGATATTTTGACAAGGGAATATTGAATCTCTTTCGCGGTTTGGCTGTTTCGAGGATTTTCCTCGTAGATTTCCTGGTCCAATTGGTTTCTTTTCGGCTTCTCCCTTTCGCTTCAGTATGTCTTCTGCTTTGACGCTGCATTTCTTTTTCAAGTATATCCTGAGTTCTTTCGGGGATCGGTTCAGTTTCACATTAGCCTGCTGGAGCAGTCTTTGGCACTGGAAATCCATGATGTTATGGTTGAGCTGGCATTCCTTGCAATCTTTCGTGAAGAACTCGGCACAGATGTGCATATTGCGACATTTATTCCCTTGGCTGCAAAAGCCGACGTTGTAATCTTCGCACAGGTCGGGGACGACTGAGTCTGGATTCAGCAGCTTCTTTAGCAGATCCAGATCAAGTTTTTCCAGTTTTCGTTGGCTGAGTATACGTTTATTGTGCAACGAATCCAGATCGTGACCATTTTCGCAGTCAGGGTCTGTGCAAAGTTTTACGAAGTATTTAGGACATATGTGCAAGGATTGGCACGACTCGTCCTCGCAGCCGTCATCTGTCATGTGGTCGTTGCAAAGAGATAAATTTATTTGCAACGACACTTTGTTTTCTTTTGTAAGAAGAAACCTGTCATCATCAGCTATCACATTGCGAATGGCGTCCGCCGTCGTCATCAGAGCGCGCGACAACGCATCCACGTCTTGCGCGAGGTCTTCAGTGTCCGCGATGGTTTCCAGAAGACGACGCTTGAAGCGGTCAGCTTCCTTGTCATGGAACACCGTGCCCGATTGCCTCTCTGGGTGGTTTCCCTGAGAGGGAAAATGAATGCATGTCAAAGTCTGATCGCATTTGAAAATTGCCACGCAGGAAACCTCAGATTCAAAGGAATGATTAGTTGTGCATTTAATGCCTAATGAATAAATTTTATTATTAACAAACCGGTTAGCCTAAAATTCTATAACTAATGCTAATACTTTGGACTTCCTTGCTTCAATTGATAGTCATTAGCAGAACTTGACCTCTAAGATGAGAGACGGCATCAGAGGAGAAAGAAAAGTGAATCCTGTCCTCTGAAAGTGAATTAGTATATGACAGACTTGCTGACTTTTTTCTGACTGCTTCTTCAGTCATGAAATACTGCTATCCGTCGTTCAGAGCAGTTTTATTTTACTCAAAATTTCCCTTTAATTTTTCAAAATTGATTAATACCCCCACGAAAAACTCCCATTGGATCCCATGAGACATTTAGGAAATAAGAATAGTGCAGGATTCATATAGGATTCCTAAAGGAATCTTATATAATCCTATAACAATTACACAGGATCATATAGAAATCCCATAGGATACTTATTAGAATCCTATTCGATTTTTATGCGTGAAAAATCTCATAGGATCCAATAATAGTTTTTGCGGGTTAGTTATAAGACAATTCCAAATACAAACTTTCATAAATATGAGAATTTATGCTTGGACTAGTCTGTCTTTCTTGTATGAATAAATCATAATGTAAAATGTATTTAATTTTGGAGAGAAGATGAGCATCTTCTAGGTATTTCATAGTAACTAACTTTTAAGCCTTTAATGCACGACGTAGCTGACACATTTCAATTGAAAAAAAAGTTTAATGTGTAGGTACCGAGCTCTAGCGGTAATTTTGTTCGTTGCAAATATGTGACACTCCAGTCATGGTATATTGTATCCCAGCGAACACTAGGTGCCCCACACTCCTAGTGGCAGGCAAATATAAATTCCGTGGTTTCGTTTGTGTAACAGGTTGACGTTCTTGGTGCTTGGTGGTACGCTAAACCAGGATCTAGGTTCATACGTAAATTCACATTTTATTTTTTGGTGAAATATGTACGAATGTTAACTGAACGACTGAGCTCTCTAGCCTCCATATAGGATGGATTAGAAAGCTGAAAATGTTATTTTGTAGCAAATGTGCAACAACTGCTTCCTCGGACCTACTTGCCACAAATTTGAGGAATGAATTTTGTTCCACTATTGCCATGTTCTAGGATCTTAGCAAATATTGGGTTGTTAAGAAAGTCTTTGGAGTTTTTCTTGTTTTTGTTCATTCTCTATTCATAATGAAAACAAGATGAATCCACAATGTAAGCACCATCGTTGCACACAACCTTCCTCCACCTTTCGGGCAGGGAGTGGATGCCCTCCCTGTAGAACGCCGGGGGCTTGGCCTCGAAGAAGTGCTTGAGGTCAGTTTCGAGCGCTGGGCCAAGTCGGGGGAGTACGGTGGGTGGGGCAGAACTTCCCACCCGAGCTCAAGGAGCTTGAGACGGGTCGACTTCGCAGTATGGGGTCGGGCGTTGTCGTGGAGGAAGAAGATTTTGTCGTGCTGCGGTCACGTCGCTTCGAGTTTCAGCTTCAAACGCTGCAGCTGGGAGCAGTAGTAGTCAGCAGTGATAGTGGTCTTGGGCGGCAGCAGTTCCCAGTGCACAATGCCGAGGACGTCCCACCACACGCTCAGCATAACCTTCTGCGGGTGCAGGTCAGGTTCCGGCTCTGGCTGTGCCGCTTCGGCGGCGTCGAGCCACTGGCGCTTCCGGGTATGAGTGATGTAGAGACACCACTTCTCATCCCCAGTCACAATGTGGTCAAGCCAGTCGAAGCTGTGCCTCCGCGAGAGGAGATGGGTGCAGGCCTCAGACCGAGCGTCGAGGTCCCTCTGGGTCTGAGTGTGGGGCACCCAACTTCCCATCTTGAGAACCTTGCGATAGAGTGGAGATGATTGTCGATGGCAGTGTTGGAGCAGTGGAGTGTGGTGGCCAGACTGCGCGTGGTTGCTCTCGGGTCGGCCTCCACCAGGCTGCGCAGAGCGTCCAAGTCCACCTCGGAGGGACGTCTCGACCTGGGTCGGTCCTCAAGGCTCCTGTCGCCAGAGCGGAAGCGATTGTACCAATAGTGGCAGGTGTTGAGGGAGGGGGCGTCACGGCCTTCCGTCTGGCACAGATGACGATGCGCCTGAGTAGCGCAGACGCCCAGGTCGAAGTCGAAGAGCAGGCAGTGTCTGATGTGCACGCGCTTTTCTTCCATTTTCTCTGTCCAGAGCTCACCGAAGATGGAGTGAAAACTTTAAGGTGCATTAGTGAGCCCTTTATATACTGTACATGCTCAATTTCGAAACATTTCTAAAATGCCGAAGGGCATGGCCAAAATACGAAGGAAACTCCAAAGACTTTCTTAACAACCCAATATATGTTCCAGAAAAAAAGCATGCATTATATGGGTAAAAGTAATCAATGAGAACAATTAATTATTATGGTATGGCAGTGACGCCACACTATTAATTACTCTTCATGGATTCATCTCACTTGTCGATGAAATGCCTATGAGTAAACTTTTGTAGTAATGGAGTCGTAGTACATAATAGATAGATTTTGCTTCATTTCTGTCAAATGATTTGTTATGGTCAAGCTTAATTAAAATTCGATCATCTTACTACTACTGAGATACAATCTTAAAGGATTCATAGGAGCTGTTGGAATATATCAATATACAGTATATTAATATGATTAACTTAGGATTCTATGAGGATCTAGTACGGTTCCTATTTCAACTCAGTAATATTTTTAAGCTTAAAAATTGTTTTCCTATTGGATTCATTTTATAAATTTTCGTTCGGGCTACTTTAGGCGTAAACAGGTTATCCTAGACTCCACAGTATTTTAATAAAAAGAACGATGGTCGAGATAGAAAAACTATCCAAGCCACGTCCCTATACCGGTGGCAGACCGTAAAAGGAAACCCGCCCAAGTTAGGTAATGACGTTTCTTGTTAGTATGCCCCACATATGATTTAGTACATTTTTATTCATCCTCTGCGACATAAGATGCATGTGGGATCTCTCTCGACTCATGCACTAAGTCTACGAAGCATGCAAAATAGACTATTGATACGTGAATGAACGATTTGTCATTTACTTTAAAGGGGACGCCAGGTTGGTATGTTTGTCCCAAGGCTCCTGCAGGCGTCGAATCCAGTCTAGGTGAAGAAATTGGGGAAATCAGTATTTAAGGTAGGTACACCTTTCACTGATGGAACGAAGTCTAGGAAGGCTTACGTTGTAGGACTGTAAGAGTGGGAATATTGGAGCGGAGTTCGATCTACTTGTTGTGAAAAGGATTGTCCTTGAAAGGCACCAGGCTTAACTGACCCAATGGACGAGTGATGATAAGGTGCACTCGTAACCGTGCGAAGACCTTTGTGTATTGGATCGGGGACCTGCCTGTTGGAGAATTTAGACTGAGGAGTTTGCGATTCGTTTTGGAGGACTCTTCCTCCGTCTGGAAGCCAGGTCTGGATGGGCGTGAAGTAATTTTCCGCTTGCCGTTGCTGCCCTGAATTTGGGTCCGACATAGTCTGCCCCTGAGGATTATTAACTGGAGAATGAAGATTCGGTTGATATGTAGGACCACCCAACGATTTACTCGGTGAACCTCGCTGATTGTGGAATTGGTCAGCTGTTTCGGGGATTTCCTGATCCTCGAAATCTTGTCGCCTTGCTTCCATTTTAGAAATATGCCGGAAATGATTTGTCTCTAGATGTACCAGAGCTTCAATTAATACAAGAATGGCGTGGTTGAATGTGAAAATACAATTACTGAGAGGTCTATCATCGTTGAATAAATTTTGCAAGAAATGACTATCAATGGAGAAGCTGGGTACATTCTACTGCGAAAATAAAAAAGGAAGCCAGCAATTCGAAAACAGCTATATTACATCACTTTACAATTTGTATTTAAAGGCTTTGGATATGAATATGAATTCAAAATACATGCAAAGGTCGTTTTACCATGACAGACTGAGCCAGGGAGGACATCATGTTCTCATGAAATTTCTTAAAAGCTCATTCCAATGCTCTTTGAATACAGTGGCTGGTTCTTTCCACAGTGGGCAAAATTTTGTTTCAAAGGACCCTTCCATTTAAAATATGTTGCTCGTGGTCACCCAGCGGGCAACATCTTGCCAACGGTGAAAAAGAACCTACTTTTTGTGGCAGCGAATTCTCTCGTTCCAAATGACAATGGCCCACGCCGGAGTCAAACTGCGGCTTCACCTACAACATCCTCTTCGCTTTTTCTTTCAGAGTTCCGAGGAGCCGAAAAACGTTTTTTGCTTTGAACGCTGAATGAAATTTTTCCTGGGAAGTTGTGACAGTTCAGAACTGCTCTTCTCGGTGATCAAAAATGCTTTTAAAGGGCCTTCGAAGGATCTTTGTAAAGCAAAGGTAGTCTTTCAAAAAGCACGATGATTATGTCTAAAAGTAATAGACTTTTCTGCATACTGTAATTGTACGATTACTAATAAGAAACAAACGACCATTATTTTGTGAAAGCACCACATACGTACCGAAACTTACTCACTGGCTCTACCGGCGATGAAATGCGGCATAATTTCGTCTGTTAACCCTTTTCTCCCTCCCAATTGTTATTGTTTGATGAATTATTCGCACCATGAAACTCATGTTTTATTGTATTCTTACTCCATGAAAAGAAAGGCGAGACCGAAGTTGCACAGACAACAAGTCTGACTTGTTCCTGGTGTTCATTTACAGTATTCTCTTGTGGCTAATGTTCATGAAACTTTAAAGATATGAAAGATAACTTAGGCGAAATGGAAAAAAGGAGCATTATACATTTCTTCGGCAACAGTTGCAATAACCGCAGGGACGCGGTAACTTCCAAGAGTTTGGAAGTGCAACCGCCTCAATTTATGAAGGGACAAGGCTGAAGAGCATAAATAAGTTAACCTGGAAAAAAAACCATTTGAAGCATTCGATGCAACTTTTATAATCGATGCACGGGAGGGATGGATGACAATTCCAATCACCTCAGGGGAAAGAAATACACGTGTAACACACGACGCCTGACAGAGAATATAATGACTAGCTCTGGTAACAATATATCATTCCCTTTTCTGCATAATAAGGTCGATGCCTTGTTGGTATCTTTCTTTTATTGAACATGTTCTTTATTCGTACTGAATTTAGATAACCACCACATCCTCTATTCTCTTACAACTACACAAATTTTTCCTTAGTTATTTCTCATAACTCTCCTGTGACATATTCCGTCCTCTAAATCTGCGACGTGGAAAGCTTTACCAACCTGAAAATTTATCTTGGTGAATATTCATTTTGGTGGGCTGCTAGATGATACAAACCGATAAGAAAAATGTCCATCGCTAATATAAACATCCCTAGTAACACATAACATTGGAACAACATGGATTCAATGTTGATTCAACACTCGGCTGTTGAATCAGCATTGAATCAATGTTGATTCAATGTTATGTGCTACTAGGGATAGGAGTATAATGTAGCACGCCAATTGTGAGCTTTGTTATCAGGAAGCCATAGAGCCAGATGAAAAACAAATTTTAAAATAAAATGTAATAATGAATCATCTGCATAAAATTCTTAAGGAATGACTACATGCACACAGAGATGGCACCTTGAGGGGAAATTGTTTGCAAAAGTTGTTTATAGCTGGATTCATTGGCCTCCCACATCTTCCGCCCGAACTCCTGCGCTGGCCTCATCGTAACAGATTCCTCCACGGAGTCGGGAAGCATGGAGGAATTGAAATAATGGAGTTCTTCGCATCTGATCCCCAGTTCCTTGAAGTAAGTAGGAACGGCCCCGTCAGACCGCGTGATCAGTCCACGGATGGTGGTTGGCGTCTTGCTCATGTGCTGACGTATCTTGTCGTGCAAGCGATCTGGCATGGATTCTTTCTTGGTACCACATGTTGCAATCCAGACGGCAGACGGGTGAATGCAGGCAGAAAAGAGCGCCTTTGTCTCTATCGCTTGCGTGTCGGGAGGTACGACGATGATTCGCAGAATGGTTCTATTTTCGCTGGAAAATGGAATTTCGAGAACCGAGACATGGCTCTCGGGACGAAGCTCATTTTGAAGGCGATACCGATGTGGAGTCGACCAATCTACCCCCAAGATGATGTTCAAGAGACCAGTCAAGAAATCTCCAATACCTGTTTGGTGCAAAGAATTGGTAGTCTCATGTTTCTTTACTTTAGGAACCAAAAGCATTCCGTCAACGGCACCAGTCGTCTAACAGTGAATCTGCATGGATGACTTCTGTTGACAATGGCCACTTAATATAGCTGAATTACTTTATTATCAGAAAGTGAATCTCTTACATTTTTCTTTATGTTGTACTTTCATAATACTCTCTCTTACATAATATGCCTTTTGGGAAAAGTTTGCTGAGTCGCATTATTACTATTGGTGCAGAAAATGTCGAAAGAACCAGAAAGTAAAAAAAATGTCGAAAAACGACTGTGCCGAATGTGCTTGTCTAGGGATAAGTTCTTTGCTTTCGCAATAGAGTTAGTATTTGTCTCTTGTTTAGTTCACTCCTTTGAAGACTGTATGCTCAGCCTTCTCAAACTGGAATGATCGCCTATCTTCAGAGATAGGCGATCTTTCCAGTTATTGTTAGGGACCTTGAAAGGGATTTGAACCATAATCGCCCGTGAACTAGCAGTCAGTCTCGTTCCTTTCCTCGTCATCACTCCCTTGGCTTGTTATTTTCTGGATCGACTGGGTTCGTCATGGCGTTCACGTTTCACAAGACTCAAAAAGGTGATGCTTTGCTTGTGAATAGTGGTCATATGTGCAGCAGACAACCCTTGAAGAGTTTGATTTTGAGGCCTTTGCTTGATTTCTTGAGAGGTTTAGCGTACACAATCAAGTTTTGCAGCAATTTGAAAATTGGACATTTGACTGGATCTTTGCCTATAATTTCTTGATGTGCGTATCAGGAGTCAGGAGAGTTAGTGATATCAAGAGGCGATTTCGCCCATTTCGATATNCTGGGAAGTTGTGACAGTTCAGAACTGCTCTTCTCGGTGATCAAAAATGCTTTTAAAGGGCCTTCGAAGGATCTTTGTAAAGCAAAGGTAGTCTTTCAAAAAGCACGATGATTATGTCTAAAAGTAATAGACTTTTCTGCATACTGTAATTGTACGATTACTAATAAGAAACAAACGACCATTATTTTCTGAAAGCACCACATACGTACCGAAACTTACTCACTGGCTCTACCGGCGATGAAATGCGGCATAATTTCGTCTGTTAACCCTTTTCTCCCTCCCAATTGTTATTGTTTGATGAATTATTCGCACCATGAAACTCATGTTTTATTGTATTCTTACTCCATGAAAAGAAAGGCGAGACCGAAGTTGCACAGACAACAAGTCTGACTTGTTCCTGGTGTTCATTTACAGTATTCTCTTGTGGCTAATGTTCATGAAACTTTAAAGATATGAAAGATAACTTAGGCGAAATGGAAAAAAGGAGCATTATACATTTCTTCGGCAACAGTTGCAATAACCGCAGGGACGCGGTAACTTCCAAGAGTTTGGAAGTGCAACCGCCTCAATTTATGAAGGGACAAGGCTGAAGAGCATAAATAAGTTAACCTGGAAAAAAACCATTTGAAGCATTCGATGTAACTTTTATAATCGATGCACGGGAGGGATGGATGACAATTCCAATCACCTCAGGGGAAAGAAGTACACGTGTAACACACGACGCCTGACAGAGAATATAATGACTAGCTCTGGTAACAATATATCATTCCCTTTTCTGCATAATGAGGTCGATGCCTTGTTGGTATCTTTCTTTTATTGAACATGTTCTTTATTCGTACTGAATTTAGATAACCACCACATCCTCTATTCTCTTACAACTACAGAAATTTTTCCTTAGTTATTTCTCATAACTCTCCTGTGACATATTCCGTCCTCTAAATCTGCGACGTGGAAAGCTTTACCAACCTGAAAATTTATCTTGGTGACTATTCATTTTGGTGGGCTGCTAGATGATACAAACCGATAAGAAAAATGTCCATCGCTAATATAAACATCCCTAGTAACACATAACATTGGAACAACATGGATTCAATGTTGATTCAACACTCGGCTGTTGAATCAGCATTGAATCAATGTTGATTCAATGTTATGTGCTACTAGGGATAGGAGTATAATGTAGCACGCCAATTGTGAGCTTTGTTATCAGGAAGCCATAGAGCCAGATGAAAAACAAATTTTAAAATAAAATGTAATAATGAATCATCTGCATAAAATTCTTAAGGAATGACTACATGCACACAGAGATGGCACCTTGAGGGGAAATTGTTTGCAAAAGTTGTTTATAGCTGGATTCATTGGCCTCCCACATCTTCCGCCCGAACTCCTGCGCTGGCCTCATCGTAACAGATTCCTCCACGGAGTCGGGAAGCATGGAGGAATTGAAATAATGGAGTTCTTCGCATCTGATCCCCAGTTCCTTGAAGTAAGTAGGAACGGCCCCGTCAGACCGCGTGATCAGTCCACGGATGGTGGTTGGCGTCTTGCTCATGTGCTGACGTATCTTGTCGTGCAAGCGATCTGGCATGGATTCTTTCTTGGTACCACATGTTGCAATCCAGACGGCAGACGGGTGAATGCAGGCAGAAAAGAGCGCCTTTGTCTCTATCGCTTGCG